AAAATTAGACTAGGACAAGATGATCTCCACATAGTCGTGTATACTTGGTTAGTTTCCAGTTTTTTCTCTTCATAGTGTTTATCCAAAACTTTTTCCTTCTTTTTGGAAAAACTAGGGCTCTATAGAAGCCAATTTCCTTGTTTTCTCCATGCCTGTTTTGACACCCAGCAGCATCACAGCTCACTACCATTTTGCTTTTTGCCAACCAGTGGGTGTGCCTGGCCACGTGTACCCCAATGTTTTGCCGACTTCAAAGAAGTGTTACCTAACGCGCGGGTGGTCTATAAGCAGACATTGCCAATTTAAATCTGCTGTTTGTTCAATCTGAGCATGCTCAATGACATGTATATAAAATTTGCCCTCAAATTTTCCAATTAACTTTTTATACATGAGCCATGTTTCTGTTCAATGTAAGAACATCAAAATAGTAATATTAATTGGAATTACTTTTGGCATGGGTTAAATGAATTGTAATTGAGTGTTGTCGCTACAAAAGGAGTCTAACTAAATGTGTATTGATATTTTGTAGTTATATTTTAAATTAGAAAGTTGTTGCTTGCTTAACTTATGCTACAATGATGCAGTTTTAAACTTTAATTGTCGTTTTGATCAAAAAATTCATTGAAAAAAAAAATAAAAAAGATACTTCAAGTGGGACAGAACTCTTAACTTTAAGCAAGTTAAACCTGGCTCTAGCTAATAAGCAGTTTGGAGCTACCTAAACAGTAAGGCATTATTTTTGGTAGAAATATGTGTATCTATAGCTAGAATATATTAATGACAGGCGGTTATTTTGACCAGGCATTTATACGGTAAAATATGGTATGCAAATTAATACATGTACATTTACAATGTGCATGTGATTTCTTAGGACTGAAGGCGGATTTATAATATTACGCTAGTCCTGACGTTACGTTGACGCTGGAATAGAATCTGGTTCTATTCCAGCAGAAAGCATGCGTCAAAAGGTCAAATCGCCCACGCTTTTGATTAAAAATTGATGGTACGCTGGCCTAATGTCATATTGTAAATCCACCTTGATGTATACATTTTGACAATAACTTGTGCTATGTGTATGGAATCTCATTGAAAAGTATAATAGCTATAATTATTAGTAAATAAAAATTATTAGTACTATTTTATGAATTATTTTCTATTAAAGTAGTTCAGGCTTGATTTAGAATTATAAAACTTTGTGTTTGTACCAGCATATACTCATGCTTAGTAATTATTGATTTCAAATTTTTCTTGCCTTTACTATATTGGGATATCTTATTAATGAAATTACAAGTATTTTGGGCATGAAAAATCACTCTCAAAATTGGATCTTTGTGATATATAGTAATTTAGCTACTTTTTTAAACTTTCGTTTACAATTCAACAATTAGCCCTTTAATATTTCTGGCTTTTTCGCTGTAATAATTGTCATATTTTTTGTTTTGTTCCACTGTAGGTTAAATGATTCTTCTACTCAGTCTGGCAGAGCAGTAGCAGCTCGTCAAGAATGGGATACAATGGATTCTTCTGAAAAATCAAGAAAGGTATGTCACTTTACATTTACATGTATCATGATTGTTGTTACTCTTTTTTGCTGCAACCTTTTGTTACGGCCAGAAAATATTAATGAGATGTGACATTTTAAAGAATTTTTAAAAATTTACTTTGTGACTATTGAGAAAAATTCTGTTTTGATGTAGAAATTTTTGTACCCTGCCATTATGCGATTTATTTTATTTAACTGGACTTATTTATAATGCTACATTATACCTTATAAAGGGATAAATTGGCAATGCTTAATATCAGTGGCTATCTGTTTGTAATAAATTAATGGTTTTATACTGGTGAATTTGTAGTCACGTGTCAAACTCTGCCAATTTTTCCTGCTTTAGTACATGGAGTAAGAAGACCTCAATATCAAAAAGATAATAGCTGCAGCAGCTGCCATTACAAATTTTATAATTGAAAGAATGATTCTGCCTATTTGTTCTACAGCATAGCTATTTGTTAACTATTACAACAGTAACAACACTGTCTCCTTGTTATTGTTATCAAGTCTCTTATTGTATTGCAATCAGATAGACAATGTACATACTAGTGTTGTTTTAGTTAACTGTAACTAAAACTAAAACCCTTTTAGTTAGGCCAGAATTACTTTTAGTCAACTAACTATAACTACTAAAACTTTAAAAAATTTTTTAAACTAACTATAACTAACTAAAAATATTTTAAAATTTAAAAAACTAACTATAACTAACTAAAAGTATTATAGTATTTGCAAAACTAACTGTTACTAACTAAAATGGCTAAAGTTCAAACTAAAACATAGAAGTACTTATCAGTCTAGCACTTCACTACTTGTAGCTAGTAATAATGCTTTAGGTAACTATAACTAAAACTAAAACCCTTTTAGTTAGGGCTAATTTTACTTTTAGTTAACTACATGTAACTATGACTAACTAAATCTTTTTAAAAGCTCTTAAACTAACTATAACTAACTAAAAAGATTTAGAAATTTTAAAAACTAACTATTACTAACTAAAATTATTTTTATTGAAGCATAACTAACTAAAACTAACTAAAATTAAAATCTGAAGTTCCATAACTAACTATTACTAACTAAAAGTCTCATTTTGTAACTAAAACAACACTAGTACATACATGAATAAGTGCTTCCAAATGCACTCAGTTTCAGGAGATATTCCTCCTACATTGTGCCTTATTTAAGAAAAATTCTCAAGAATTAGCTTTTATCGATTAGTAGTATCAGTGGAATGCATTTGTAATAGATGTGCACTCCCTAAATTCCTTTAGCTGTAATCAACATAGCTCCATTTACTACTTGTAACATTCCATTTGTGTGTTGATTGTCGCTACATTGTATTTTTATAAAACATTGCCTAACTTGGCTTTTGTTATAATATTTTTGTACATTCCTAAATTTAAAAAACTACATTGTATTTGGAATACCGAAGGCTATTAACTTTTCCCTCTGAGATGAGATGGCAGGAAGTGTTTCTGTCTGTTGGCAGTGGTCTAACTATTACTAAAATTAAATATAAAATCCCTCAAATATAGGAGACATTTTAGAGGGAGTTAAATTTGGCAAATTGCTAAATTTGGTGATTGGCAAATTTTAAGTTGATAAATTTGTGGCAATGTGCCATTGAGCATGTGCATGATGACTCAAAATGGCTGATTTTTTTGTGGCGAATGGCTATCAAAAAGCCAGATTGATCAAATTCAACTCCCTCCAAAATTTTGTGCTATACGGTAGTAACGGCTGGTACATATACAATTTATGTCATGTGTATCTTTCAACTATCCTGTTGTTAGTGTAATGCATGTATTTACATACACAGTGTGTTTTACTATTGCTACATAATATACTCAATCTATTTATCTCCTTTAGGTAAAAGATCTTGTTCGTTACTTGGTATTTGGTAGTAGTCAAAAGATTCCAGTGAAACGAGATGGTAAAACAATACCTTTTTATATTGTATTAGCATTGTTAATAGAACTGCTGAAAAATGTGTTGGATGGAGCTTCAAGAACTTTACCTTCTGCAATGCAAGAGGCAAATAAAATATTACAAGAAGTAATCCTTTACTTTTGTAGCTCTTATTGTATCTTGTGTTGAGGTATTTGGATTGCAAGCTGTTGAGGCTAAGAAAGGAACACAAACTGTATATTTATTAATCAATTGTCTTCCTTCTGAAACCAAAGACAAATTAATTGAAAGGTATAGAGATGCACATGTTAGAGTATGTATGTATGAATTCCCTGATTGAATGGCATAAATACCAATATGACACAGTCTCTTTTGTAATAAATTACTTTAATGACATAGTGTTGTACGCAGGATCATGCATCTGTGTATTATTATACATGTGTGCAAAAGCAAGTTGTAAAACTAGGATGTGATATATTATAAAGTGATAATAGTCATTTTGAACATGTACAGTAGGTAGACTATCAGCCAGTTTTGTTTGTGGGTGCATACATGTACATGTATAAACACCTATTTAATACCATACTTGGGTGTGTTCGCTTTTTATATGAATGCCTTCCTTCGTTGACATGATTATGAAAAGGATATATTGGGATTTAAGTAATTCCTATGTGTCATTGGAGCCGAGTATAATAGGCTTATTCCATATCTCATTACACACTATTGAGTGCATTGGTGAAACTTAAAGAATGATTATTCTGCTATCAATATCCCAATATTGATCTTCGGAGGCAGGAGGAGTGTTGTTTACTCGTGATCAAATTATTTTAGTGACAATGATGTGTACATTGTAACCAGTCACTCAAATGTCATTTACTTGTAATATTACAAGGTATTAGGTTAATGCTATTTTGTGTATTTGGTCCGAGTCAGTATAAACATGCTATTGTTGCACATTTTTTATTTATGGTTTTAAGGATTTACATCATTACGAATTAATTTTTTCACTTCAAATTTGTGATCATTATACTTAAATTTCTTGATGCTTTCTTATTTTATAGTAACTTCATTAAGCATTAGACACAACAATGTGGCATTAGTTTACACTTTAACTGTTATGGTAGTCCTTGTTCCTGGTAGCAGTTTAAATAAGTCTTTGTTTTTATGTTAAAAATATTGTAAACTTTTTGAGAAAAAAACATATATTACAAAAAAGAACATGCTACTACATTTATGACCACACAATAACGTTATTATTTATAATAATTAATTCAGTCATCAGTGTTGTCTGTTGGTAGATGTATCTTAATAGGCTGTGCAATTGATGATCGTCTCAATGTTGAGATGCTAGCAGTCCTTCTTGATAAAGATCGGGATCGATTGAAGATCCGCCGAATTGCTTGAGAAATGTCTCTGTTTCGAATGATTAGCAATGGATTGAGAAGAGTAGTAGCATAGAAGCAATCAATGATGATCATGTGACCATAAACTGGTATTGACATGTGAGTACCTGCCAGGGTTTGTCTTGTTACTGCTAGAAAGTATACTGGCAAATTTCCCAATAATAAAGTAATAAGGATTGATACAAATGTAGTAAGTGAACGCTTATCTCTGCTAGACCATCCTGAGTCTGGTGATGATATTCTCAAGTTTGGATGAGATCCCATTTGTATCATTCTCCTTTTGTTTCGGCTGATACAGTACATTATTGTGTACAGGCTACATGGTACAATAGCTCCTAATATAATTTGTGATGTATATATACTGACATATAGTCCAAAGCATGTCCTGTTGTCAGAGCAGTTTATGATACATTGAGAAAACCCAGCCCTGAATGTGTATTCACCCACACCAAAGAATGTGGGAAATAGCATAAGGACTGGTAGTACCCAGGCTGTCGTTGTGAGGATGATTAAATATGGTTTACTCCACTTGGGATAGCGAAAGGGAAACAGCATGAGAGAGAATCGATCTAGTGATAATACTGCCATAGACATCCAGCGAGTAGAAATAAGATAAAAACCGATGACCCCAAAAATTTGGCAGGCTGTTTCTCCAAACTGCCAGTCTCCACTGGAAACAGAAATCAAGGCAGGGATATGGAAAAAGATGATGATTAGCTGATCACTGACAACGACAGACATACTGACAATCATCGATCGATATTGCAAGTCTTTGCATTTCATTACTAGTCCTAGTATTGTCAGGTTCCCAATACTACTGGCCAATATTATTGCTGCAAGATAAATGCTCTGAAGTACGAGTATCCATTGTTTTGTGTCACAGTAAGGAGAGCAAGTGGTGTTGCTATGATTGCAGTTGTCCATATTGTAGTTCTATGGTGCTAAAATGCTGCACAATTCATCTTATATAGTATGTATGTGGTAATTGATATGTGGGAGAATATTGAACCCTTTGATCATTTCTATAAGTATACATTAAGAATGTTTGTCAAAAGACGATAATTATATCTATTATAGAGTGGATATTGTCTAACAAAATCATAATATTAATATTCAGTTCTTTAAGTTCGTTTCATGCATATCATTTATGTTTGCCGATGATGATTGAGTTTCAGCTTCTGTTGAAGATGTTCTTCCATCTGTTACATGATGCCTGCACCAGCATTTTTTGTGAAATAATTCGTATATAACAGTGCGAAAATCGTGATTTTTCATTAGTACTAAAGGATCTAACGCTGTAGATACAATAAATATATCTGTAACGATGAAGTGAATTACAACAGGTATTTTGAAGAATATACATATACTGATTTGTCGTACGATAAGGAATAAGAAAGATGGTGAACTAGTAAACAGTATACTCAAAAATATTAGGAAAACTGTTACCATTGCTTGCCTATCATATTGACTTCTGGTATTTTGTGCTTTCCTTATATTTTTAACTGCCACGCTAGTTGTCACATTCAGTGCTAGTTCACCAAGTGTATATTTAGTCCGCATTTTTCTTGCCTTGCGATACATCCAAATATACATCCCTGATGGTATTATACATCCAATGATAAACATGATCATGACAATACCAGTGTTTATTAATGCACATGCCATGCGATACGTGGCATTGATGCAGGAAGGTAAACAGGTCGGAATGTTAGCTCTGAATGAGTAACTGACAAGTGATAGTGAAAGCAAGCTAGCTAATCCTGGTGGTATTGTCCATGTTAATAATGATGCTACTATCAAGAATCGTCTGCTATATTTTTCGTACCTGAAAGGAAACTTAACAGTCAAAAATCGATCAGTTGTTAAAACTGCAATTCCAAACCACCTAATATTTAGGAGGACAGTCGTTAGCACACCGTATGCTCTACAGATGAGGTCTGGTTCAGGCTGCTCGTTGTATGACCATCCCTTGGAGAGGCAGTTAGTTAGTATAACTCCATGATAGAATATAGTTAGCAGAATATCAACAAACACTATGTTGAGCCCAACTACGATCGACCTGTGTCTGAGTCGCTTGTCTTTAGCGACCAGGACAAGCACAGTTGAGTTAGCTAGTAGCCCAGTCACTATAACGAGAGAAATGAAGGTAGCGTGGAAGGCTATGACGACATTAGAGACAACAGTTAGGTTGATAAACAGCGGAGTAGTGTCGTTTTGGTCGCTGCAGTTAGCGTAGTCGAGGAAAGAAGAGTCCAAATCCATTGTTGCTTTTTAGCCCCACCCACGCAATGCTATGCTGCTTATATGGCATTGCCTTCTTTTGTAAATAAACATTGATTCATAATAAATATCATTATTATAGGTCTAATAAGGAGTTGTCACAGATAGGACTTTTGGGAGCAATATTAAGCTTTTTGATGATGAAACCTCAAGGAACTGCAAACACAGGTATGCAATATTTAGCAATTAGCATTTTAATGCATGCCAGAATTTAACTAGAATAAAATATTTGCCATGCAGACTGAGATTTTTTGTTATAATGATGTTATGATTTTCTCACTATTATGCAGATAGTATATGGAGTGTGCTTAACTGTTTGGGATTGATTCAAAAAAGGTATTTTTAAAATTATAATTTTTTGTTTTGTTTGCTTAACAATGTCATTTTTTCATGTTCTCATATAGTCAGTATCCTGAATTTGGATTTCACAAAGACATCCTGAGTCCTTTTGTGGAGCAAGGGTAACCTTACCTTTTGATTATTAAAATATTGAAAAAACTATTCTATATGATCAATCAGGTATCTTGAACAAAAGAAGAGGGTAATAGGAGAAGCAAGTGTTTTTGAATATCAGTGGGGTCCACGTGCTAAGCTTGAAGTTGACAAAAGACAGCTGCTTATGACAATGGCAGAAGTCAGTTTAATATGAATGTGCATCTCATATCACACCTAAGCAAATTTGAATTATCACCGAGAATAGTTTAGTAATGTTAATGAAGTGTTACCATATCAGTGTTTTAGTTCTAAATATCACTGTTAGTTGTTAATTTTATAGCTTTTAATTTAGCACTGAGATCCCTATGACCAGTCTGCTGCTGTGATATATGATCATTTGATCTTGTTTTTAGGTTCATGGTGATGAATTTGATATATGGGAAAAGCAGTTTCAAGACTTGATTTGAATGGAACTGATTCCTAAGCTGACAATAAAACAATAATTATCCTCTCATATCAACCAGCATCAATTAATTACTGTTATTATTATTAATCATAATATTGATCATCATAGATTGTGGGTGTGGTTAATTAATTATTTTAATCAGTACACGTGTCTTTTAAGTTTGGAATGGCAAATTCAGGTGGGGTGTTGATAGGTATATATAAATAGTTTTTGGTCGAGATATATTTATTAATTCTCTTCTTTACAGCTCCTACATGGTTGGAATTTCAACCAGTTGGCTGCCAGTTTCATCATTATTTACGTTGTCTGACGTCTGGGTTGACTGAAGACCTAAGCGGTACCATAGAAGATAGTGGAAGTAGTGAAGATGAAGACGGTGACACTATACCTTTTCTTGATCCGTCTCAATGGAAAGTAAGCGATGTACTGTATTTAACTGGTGGTATGTATATGTGTTCATCATATCTACATGTAGTTATATTAATTAAAGGTGGTGGCGCATTCCTTTTTATATTTTATGTGCTAATATTAAAGCCGGGAGTGCTGTATGAAATGTTCCAGGGAACAATGGTATCTGAGACTGAGAAAGTGTCTTATCTTCCTCTTCTGGCTTATTGCCTATCTGGACAGCTTGATTTATAGTAGAATGATTAGTAGTATTTGCAATGAATGTGGAGTCTTTAAGTAACATTGAACTATAAACAGCTTTAGCTTGCTCCTCACTAGTCTGTTCATATGCATACAATCTAGGTAAACTTCGAAGACTCATGAACTTGCCTATGTCTATTCTTCATCAACTGACTAAAGTTACGAAGAGCCTGCTGGTTTTTATACTCTTCGTATTTTCTGGAAGGACTCTCTTTGAATCCTCTATTACTTGTTTCTCGTCAACAGAAGCACCAAATGTACCTTCATTCTTCTTATTAGTGTAAAATTTGAGGACAGGTCATCATTTAATTTTTCAATTTCCCTTTTACTATGACTCTTTGGGGTGACAACAACTGGTTCTACTTCTACTTCAGCTCCTGAATCCTCAATCATAGTTATTTCACTGTTTGGCTCCTATGCATGACGAAATATTAATAAAATGTGTATAAAAACATTAAGACTCACTGATTGAGCTTGAGAGACATCAGACGTACAGTCTTCAAGTATCTTGAGAAATTCATTTGGTAGGGCATCTTTGGATATTATGGTGCACTTCTCTTGTTTAATTTGTAATAAATTAATTCAGAACTTATTATTTTTATTTTACTTCATTAGTTGCTAACAAAATAAAATTACGTGGAACATTCAGTGCACCTAGTGAAATGTCGTTCTGGATTTCATATAGTATGCTTTGTTTTGTTTTGTAGAAAGAGCATGCACACGCTCTAATTTTATTCCAACTACTCCTTTCTTTTTTTGTAAATGGTTTGCTTCTGCAAAAAACCATTAATCTATGGTGTGTAAATTTTAATAAAATATTATAAATTAATGTATGTATATACTTGCTCCTTTGTTGAATTTTCGATAATACCATCATCTCCTTTGCAAATGATGCAACTGCTTTTTTAGTTGAAGCTGTCATTGTCTCTGGTTGTTTTGTTGATGTAGCAGCTAGAACAGTATTTATAAAATATTATTATTTTATTATTATTATTAATAAACTTTAAAATACACAGAAAATGTATTGAAGGATAACACAGCAGCTAGGCTGGCTATCTGGTGCACAAAGAAAGAAAAGAGAAAAGAAAATAAATGACACAAATCAATAAATAAAAACAAGATACTAATTAAATGATATAAGGGACAAAACTAGTTACAATTAAGACATGGACAACAAAAATGAAAAGAACAAACAGATAAAGGATCAAACTTATCAACAAAATAATCAGCAAAAAACCTATTTAATTTAGTTTTAGCAAGATCATAAGAAATATTTACAAATTAGAATTAATACATGTAGGTAA